TGCGGCGACGGCCTCGGGCTCACCCCGGGCCGGAGCGGCGACGGCCGAGCGGCGGGCTGCGGGCGCGGCGGTGTCGGCCGCCGAGGAGGTGCGATCCCCGGTCGGGCTCCCGCCGCCCCGGACCATGTACTCGGCCCACAGGCCCCTGATCCCCGCGTCTGGCGCGGCCTCTCGTGGCCTCGGCATGTTCGGTCAGTAGCATCGGGCGCCGGGGCTGCCGGGTCGAGGGGTCGGGGTGCGGATGTCGGTGGCGGGGCGCGGCACCTGCGCGGCGAGGGCGCGCGAGGGGAGGCCGAGAAAGTTTGCAGAGTGAGCGGCCGAGCGGGTAGTCGCGGCAGGTGGAGCGCAGCCTGGCCGGGGGCGTGAGGAGCGGGGCGGACGCGGGGACAGGTGTGGTGCTGGAGTGACGGGGTGGAGCGGAGCCCTTGTGATTGGTGGCAGGGGCTCCAGAGTCGCAGGCTTGGAGTGTGGGTTCGAATAGGGGTGTACCGGCACCGGCGGGTGGACGCTGTGGAACGGGGACAGGGAGGTGCTTACGCTGGTGGTCCGAGGCCAGGTTTTGTGGGAAGCACCGCTGGTCAGATCAGGTCAGGGCAGCAGTATTTCGGGTGTGATTGTGGGAGGGGAGGACCGGGGAAGGAGGGACACCTGGGGTGATACACTAGAACGAGGCTAGATCCAGGGGACTGCCCCATTGTCTGCTGGCCTCTCCACCCCGCTCCCCGTGCTGAGGACCTTCGCAGGCCATCTTGGGGTTGGAGCCTCTAGCTGACTTGGGGGGCCCTGGGGCGGGGGCCGGGGCTGTTAGGAATCTTGAGTGCCTTCCAGTTTTGTTTCCCTCTTTCCTCTAGGCTCTTTTCCTTTGTCAGGCCCTCAGAGTCAGGGCTTGAGGCCAGTTCTTCGTATAGTGCTCTCCTGGACTAGATTTGTGAAGATGTTGGGGTGAGGTCACGTCAGGTCAGGTTGCTCTGGAGCAGGGGGAGGCAGGGAGTGATGGATATCAGAGATAGGGCGGTTCCCTGCTTTCCTCTCCCCCCTGAGCAGGGGCCTCTGCTCTGCTGGTTCCACTTCCCCTGGAGCCTGTGGCCTGGCAATGTGGGGAAGCTCGCCGATAGCCTGGTTTGCTCCTCAGTTGTAGCAGGCGTGGTCCCAGCTGCAGATTGCCCGATTTCCCACCCGCTTTCCACCCGGCGCTCGTGTGGGGCTGGGCCCGAGCGTTGGCCCTTCCAGAAGCCCACTGGTGAAGCAGCTACCCTCCTGTCCGGCTCCTCAGGGAAGCACCTGGCGCTCAGCTGTCCCTGGGCAGGCTCATGGCCGATCTCTCCTGTCCCATTGTCCCTGTCTTTTCTTCTGAAGAGTTCACCACACCCTCCCATCTTTCTGGTCGAGGAGAATGTACAGTGGACATGCGATGAGCCCCTTGGTTTGCGGGGAGGGAACACCTTGGTGGGTGTTGGGAGTGTGTTTAGGAGACAAAAGAGGGAGCCACCTGGACCCCACCCAGGAAGGGGCAGGTCTGGCTCTCTGGGGACGCTGGGGGCGTCGGGGACAAGGAGGTGGTTCCTCACTCGGGGGCTGTTGGAGATGCCAGGCCCTGGCGATGAGTAGAGACAGGGAGGGGAAGTAAAGGACATTAACCTCAGGGTGGAAAAGGGGGACTAGGACGCGAGGGTGTGATGACGCGTTTGTTGGGAGGCGTGTCCCGCCTTGCGGAGGTCTCAGGGCATCAGAGTGGGGAAGGGCAGTGAGAGTGACCTGGTTTGTGGCAGGAGCCAGCTCCTCCGGCTTGGCCCCTGGCGGCAGGGCTGATGGAGGCTGGGAGGGCGCTGGGACATGAGCACTGTTTCTCTTTCCTGCTTCTCTTCTCTTTCCTTTTCTTTTTTTTTTTTTTTTTTTTTTTTTATTAATGTAAAGAAAAGATTTATTTTTATTATTATTTTTTTTAGGAGTTTTGTTTTTGTTTTTTCCCTTTCTTTTGCCTTAGTGATTTCTCACTGTCTGCTGGAGAGGTCCAGGGGTTGGGAAAGTGGGTGTGAAGGCTGGGTGGGGCTGCTTCACACAGGTTGGGCATGAGTTTGACTTGGTAGGTCAGGGTCAGGCTCGCCTGGTGCCCAGCTCACACGGCTCCTTCCCACAGTGTGGACAAATGTGGAACCTCGTTCTGTGGCCGTGTTCCCCTGGCATTCCTTGGTCCCCTTCCTGGCACCCAGCCAGCCAGACCCCTCTGTGCAGCCTAGTGAAGCCCAGCAACCTGCCAGCCACCCTGTGTCCGCCAACCAGAGCAAAGGTAAGGGGAAGGGGCCGTGAGGTTGTCCGGGGATGGGGCCCGGGAGCCCGGAAGCCCTCTCATAGACCGCTCTGCTCCTAGAACCTGCTGAATCGGCTGCTGTTGCTCATGAGCAGCCACCAGGAGGGACGGGGGGTGCTGACCCTGGGCGGCCCCCTGGAGCCGCCTGCCCTGAGAGCCCAGGGCCTGGCCCTCCACTCCCTTCGGGTGTTGTGGACCCTGGTAAAAGTCTCCCTCCCGCCACTGAGGAGGAGGCTCCTGGCCCTCCCGGAGAGCCCCGGCTGGACAGCGAGACGGAGAGCGATCATGACGATGCGTGAGTCTTCCAGGGCCTGCCATGGGGCGGGGGTGGGGGACGGGGGGGGGGGGGGGGGGGGGGGTGGAGCGGGGTGGAGAACCAGCCGAGATCGTCACTGTCCCTGATGCTCCCCACAGCTTCCTCTCCATCATGTCTCCCGAGATTCAGCTGCCTCTGCCCCCCGGAAAGCGCCGCACCCAGTCGCTGAGTGCCCTGCCCAAGGAGCGCGACTCGTCGTCTGAGAAGGATGGACGAAGTCCCAACAAGGTGCTTCCTTTATCCCGGAGCTCTCCCTCTCCCCCGCCGCGGCCTCCCCAGCCTGAGCCTCAGTGCAGTCCTGACTGTCCCGCTCTGGGCTGTGTTAACTGCAGCGGGAGAAGGACCACATCCGTCGGCCCATGAACGCCTTCATGATCTTCAGCAAGCGGCACCGGGCCTTGGTCCACCAGCGGCACCCCAATCAGGACAACCGCACCGTCAGCAAGATCCTGGGGGAGTGGTGGTATGCCCTGGGGCCCAAGGAGAAGCAGAAGTACCACGACCTGGCCTTCCAGGTAATTCTTCCGCCCCTCGGCTCTTCCCAGTGCGCTCTGCCGGGGCGGGGAGTGAAGGCTCGCCCTGCCCTCTCCTGCCAGGTGAAAGAGGCCCACTTCAAGGCCCACCCAGATTGGAAGTGGTGCAACAAGGACCGAAAGAAGTCCAGCTCAGAGGCCAAGCCCGCGAGCCTGGGGCTGGCCGGAGGGCACAAGGAGCCGCGGGAACGGAGCATGTCGGAGACGGGGACTGCTGCCGCCCCTGGGGGTTAGTCAGCCCTTGGCTCTCCCCCGCCCCCCCCAGGGCCGCCAGCCTCCCCTGCTTGCCCAACCCCTGCCTGAGCAACTTCTCTTCTCTGTTGCCTGTGAGACTCCTCCACAAAGGAACTGGCAGTTGATTGATGGATGTGACTGAGCCAGGGAGCTGCAGATAAGAGGCCCGAACGCTAATCATTGCCTACTGCCGTTTATTGAGCATTTTCTACATGCTCAGAGGCCAGACCCCTTTTCCAGATGAGGAGATAGTCTCAGAAAGGCCCCAGTTACCTGATTTTAAAGTCATGGGCCTAGCACAGAGTCAAGATTCAAGCCCTGGCTCTGTTGTTCCCCAAGACCGCAGTTGGAGCCGCTGCCGCCCGTTAGGCCCTGGACCTGCCGTCTCCAGGAGTTCTGGGGTGCCTTGGAGGTGCAGCGTGATTGGTGGCTGTGGGGATGGCGTTCTCTGAGAGTTGGGGGCCCCTTACTGCTTCTCTCGCCTACACTAGGCTCAGACAGGCCAGTGGTAACTAGCCAGCCAAGACCTCGTGGGCCAGTGTCGCGGCTTGCACACTTAGATGTCTGCTTCCTGGGAGCGGCTTGCTGGCTGCAGGCCCGCAGGACCGGAGCTTTCCGGGAGGACGTGTCGGGCCGGAGACTGGTGCCTTTCTTTCTCTGCCGAGTGGCTCGGGACCCAGCCCGCCTGCGGGGAAGGTCGGGCCGGCTCCGGGGCGGGTCGGGCGTTCTGACTGTTAAGCTTGCGCACCGTCTGCTTTTCAGTGTCTTCCGAGCTCCTGTCGGTCACCGCCCAGACGCTCCTGAGCTCGGACACCAAGGCTCCAGGGAGCGGCCCGTGTGGGGCAGAGCGGCTGCACACGGTTGGGGGTCCGGGCTCAGCCCGACCCAGAGCCTTCTCCCACAGCGGGGTGCACGGTCTTGACGGAGGGGAGGCGGACAGCCAGGCACTGCAAGAGCTGACCCAGGTTTGAGGCGCAGGTCCCGGGGAGGTGGCTGGGGAGGGCTGCGTGAGGCGGCTCACCCCTAAGCCCGCCCTGCCGCCTCCCTGTCCCGCAGATGGTTTCTGGCCCCACGTCATACTCCGGCCCAAAGCCTTCCCCCCAGTATGGCGCGCCGGGACCTTTTGCAGCCCCTGGTGAAGGGGGCACCTTGGCCACTGGTGGGCGGCCCCCTCTGTTGGCCTCCCGAGCCTCCCGCTCCCAGCGCGCAGCCAGTGAGGACATGACCAGCGATGAGGAGCGCATGGTCATCTGCGAGGAAGAGGGCGACGATGACGTCATTGGTGAGCGGGCCCTGTGGGCAAGGGCTCGGGGATGGGGAATGGGGGCAGGGGGATGGGGGCAGGGGGCCGGGATCCAGGGCCCTGGGATCCTTCAGCTCGTTTTCCTCCTCGTGTTTTGTGACTGTGTACCGTCAGTCACACTTCAGCGCGCAGCGCAGGGAACCTGGGGACGTGGGCGTCCCCAGCAGAGCACTGGGTGCTCTTCCAGGCGCACGTTTCGGGTCCTGCATTGGTCAGGTGCACGGAGCCCTGGGCCTAGGACTGGCCGCCAGGGCCGCTCTCCTCCTCCTTGTTGGCACCATGGTCACCGTCCGTTCGCCTGTCTGCTTGGCTCAGAGCGGAAGCCAGGGCACAGCTTCTGTTCTAGACTGCTTCCTCCTGGGTAGCTCTGTGCTCAGTCCCTTCCCCACTGTTCCCTCTGCTCCCTCAGCGGATGACAGCTTTGGCACCACTGACATTGATCTGAAGTGCAAGGAACGGGTGACTGACAGTGAGAGTGGAGACAGCTCTGGGGAGGACCCGGAGGGCAGCAAGGTGAGGGTCGCCGTGCTGCGGCCTGCCACTGCCAAGAGACAGTGCTGTCGGACCGTTGATGCGGGAGAGCTGGCTCTGGAGAAGGCGGGCTCCTGGGCTCCTGGGCTCCTGGCAGTGTGGGCTCACCTCCGAGATGAGCTGACCTTCAGCCGGCAGCGTCCCCAGAGGCGGGGGTTCCTGGGATGGCCGTCCAGCTGCCTGCACTCCCTGACCCGGGTCTCTTTCCTTCACCCAGGGCTTCGGCCGGAAGGTGTTCTCGCCCGTCATCCGATCCTCCTTTACCCATTGCCGTCCCACCCTGGACCCTGAGCCTCCGGGGCCCTTGGATCCTCCCGCCGCCTTCAGCAAAGGCTATGGCCCCACCCCATCCTCCTCCTCACCGGCCTCCACCTCAGCCTCCGTCTCCACCTCCACCTCTTTTTCACTGGGCTCTGGGACCTTTAAGACCCAGGACTCTGGTCAGGGCTGCACCGCGGTCCCACTACGGCCCCCACCTCCTGGAGGCGGGGCCCCAGCCACACCCTCCAAGGCCGCTCGGTTCCTCCCCACGGACCCTGCCGCCTTCCGGCGCAGGAGGCCGGAAAGCGTCGGGAGCCTGGAGGTGCCAGGCCCCTCCGTCATTGCAGCGCCTCCCGGTGGGGCGGGGAGCACTCTGCAGACGCTGGTCCTGCCTCCCAGCAAGGAGGAGCGGGAGGGCAGGGTGCCCTCCGCCCCCGCCCCGCCACTGGCCTACGGGGCTCCAGCAGCCCCTCTGTCCCGCCCCGCTGCCACCATGGTCACCAACGTGGTACGGCCTGTCAGCAGCACTCCCGTGCCCATTGCTTCTAAGCCCTTTCCTGCCTCCGGCCGGGCTGAGGCATCTTCCAGTGACTCAGTAGGTGCCAGGACTGAAGTGGGCACTGGGTCCCGGGTGCCTGGGGGCTCCCCTCTGGGTGTCAGTTTAGTGTATCCGGATAAGAGGTCAGCAGCAGCCACCTCGCCAGCTCCGCACTTGGTAGCTGGACCCCTGTTGAGCGCTGTGGGGAAGGCACCCGCTACCGTCACCAACCTGCTGGTGGGCACCCCAGGCTACGGGGCTCCCGCGTCACCTGCTGTCCAGTTCATTGCCCAGGGAGCCCCAGGCAGTGCGGCCCCTGCAGGCTCAGGAGCCAGTGCTGGGAGTGGCCCCAATGGACCCGTACCCCTGGGCATCCTGCAGCCAGGTGCCCTAGGCAAGGCCGGGGGTATCACCCAGGTGCAGTACATCCTGCCCACCCTGCCCCAGCAGCTGCAGGTGGCACCTGCCCCAGCACAGGCCCCTGGGGCCAAGGCAGCAGCTCCCAGCGGCCCCCCGCCCACCACCAGCCTCCGTTTCACCCTCCCCCCGGGCACCTCGACCAACGGCAAGGTCCTGGCTGCCACGGCGCCCACTGCTGGCATCCCTATCCTGCAGTCCGTCCCCTCGGCCCCACCCGCTAAAGGTGAGGCTGGAGCGCCGCTTTGTAGGGATGTGGGGCGCAAGCCTGGCTGGCTGTCTTGTAATTGCTCCTCTCTTGCCTCTTCCAGCCCAGTCAGTTTCCCCTGTCCAGGCCACACCTTCAGGTGGCTCCGCCCAGCTGCTGCCTGGGAAGGTGCTAGTCCCCCTGGCTGCCCCTAGCGTGTCAGTCAGAGGGGGAGGGGCTGGCCAGCCGCTGCCCCTGGTCAGCTCGCCTTTCTCAGTACCTGTCCAAAATGGTGCCCAGCAACCTAGCAAGGTAAGGCCCTCAGGTGGTGGCTCTTCACTGTTGGGCGTCATCCTCGTAGTCCACCTGTCGCTGGCTGCCTTTCCTGCCCCCGGCCCCCATCTCTCTCTGGGTCCTGGTCTTGGTTTCTTGCTAGAGTTTAAAAGAAAAACAGCAAGCAGGAAAGTTGTAAATCCTGGCAGTTGCTGGGAAGGAGGGGGATGAGAAAGAGAGAAAAAGCAAGCCTTTTTGAGTGAGGGTTAGCAGTGGAGGCGTGGAAGAGGCTGCTCTGGAAAGAGAAACAAGCGTGCGGCTGGGTATGGTGGCTCACCCTTTTCTAGCACTCAGGAGACGGACGGCAAATGGACCTCTGTCCGGGTTGAAGGCTTTCAGTCTGATGAGTTCCTGGTCCACCGTAGAAAACCCTGCCTCGGGGAGGGGGGATGGGGGGATGGGGGGAACTGTGGAGAGGGCTTGGGGGTTCTTGCAAAGGACCCCGGTTCCCGGCACCGCGTCACCACCTGGAGCTGCACAGCCATCTGGAGCTCCAGCAGCGGGCCCAGATGCCCTCTTCTGGCCTCTTTGGGCACCGCCTGTGCACAGTCCACACATGCACATGTACGGCGCACATACAGAGACACGCACACGTGTGCAGGCTGAATAGAAGGCAGTGAGGAAGCGCGGAGTTGCTGAAGAGCTGGGTTAGGATCGTGAGCGAGAGGTGAAAAAGGAAACAGCATTTTAGTTACAACTCCGAAGAGCAAGCAGGCTCGCCTTTTTCCCTAAGGCGTGCGCAGCCCGCTTCGGTCGGCGTTGGCATCTGTCCCTCTTCGTAGTCCAGGTCCTCCCCTGGCTGTCCTCCCCACCTGGGCATGTCTCGGCCTCTGAGGTCTCCTGCGCTCCAGGCCTCAGCCCTCCCTGTCTGCTGGGTCGGGGCTCACCCTAGCCTGTGGATGCTTGCGCCCACAGATCATCCAGCTGACTCCTGTGCCTGTGAGCACACCTGGTGGCCTGGTGCCACCCCTGAGCCCAGCCACGATGTCGGGACCCACGTCGCAGCCTCAGAAGGTCCTGCTGCCCTCTTCCACAAGGTGAGTGCGGTGAGGCCCCTTTCTTCCCTCTAGACCGGGGTGGGGTAGGGCCAGCTGTCTCACTGACTCCTGGCCTCTCCTCTCCTCTCCTCTCCTGTGGCAGAATCACCTATGTGCAGTCAGCGGGTGGGCACACCCTGCCCTTGGGCACCAGTCCTGCGTGCAGCCAGGCTGGAACAGTGACCTCCTACGGGCCCACCAGCTCTGTGGCTCTGGGCTTCACGTCCCTGGGGCCCAGCGGCCCCGCCTTCGTGCAGCCCCTGCTCTCAGGTGAGGGGCGGCCGGCGACCTAGGCGGGGTTGAGACAGCGCAGACCCTAACCTGCTTCCCCCACCGTCTTCCTCCCCGCAGGCCAAGCCCCGTTGCTGGCTCCTGGCCAGGTGGGCGTGTCACCTGTGCCCAGCCCCCAGCTGCCTCCTGCCTGCGCCGCCCCTGGAGGCCCTGTCATGACAGCGTTCTACCCTGGCAGCCCTGCGCCCACCTCAGCACCTCTGGGCCCCCCTTCCCAGGCTCCGCCAAGTCTGGTCTATACTGTGGCCACCGGCACCACCCCACCCGCCGCCACCATTCTGCCCAAGGGCCCCCCGGCCTCTGCCACTGCCACTCCAGCCCCAACTAGCCCTTTCCCTACTGCTGCAGGTAGGTGTGGGGCAGCAGGGCCGGGCGTTCTGCAAGCTGGGGAATGCAGGGCTTCTGGGAGGCCTGGCTCAGCAGACGTTCTCTTCCCTTGCCAGCAGGCTCCATGACCTACAGCTTAGTGGCGCCCAAGGCCCAGCGGCCCAGCCCAAAGGCCCCCCAGAAAGTGAAGGCAGCCATAGCCAGCATCCCTGTGGGGTCTTTTGAATCGGGCTCCACTGGTCGGCCCGGACCTCCATCCCGACAGTCTCTGGACTCTGGCACAGCCCGAGAGCCAGCTGCCCTAGAATCAGAGCTTGAGGGGCAGCCCCCCCCCCCCGGCCCCGCCACCTCCCCCCGAGACCTGGCCTCCAACTGCCCGGAGCAGCCCCCCTCCTCCCCTGCCTGCTGAGGAGCGACCTGGCGGCAAAGGCCCCGAGACCGTGAGTGTCTGGCTGGCTGTGGGCTCCCCTGGCGGTTGGTCTCCGTTCTTGCCCGTGTGATGTCTCCTGCCCGTCTGCCGTGTCCAGCTCATCTTGTTTGGGGTCTGTGTTCTGTGTACCCTGGCCTTCAGAGGCCAAGGGTTTGTCTTGTCTTTGATTTCTCCTCATCTCATGGTCTCCCCTGCCCCACTTCCTTCCCAGCCCAGGTCTCCGTGGCTCAGGCAGCCCTCGTGGCAGTGCCAGGTCTGAGATTACGGGCAGGGGCCCCATGACTTCATCTCAGTGTTCTTTCCGTCCCCACCCCAGGCCAGCAAGTTCCCAGGCTCCTCTTCAGACTGGCGAGTCCCTGGGTTGGGCCTGGAGAGCCGTGGGGAGCCCCCCACCCCCCCAAGCCCGGCCCCGGCCACAGGCCCTGGTGGAAGCAGCAGCGGCAGTGAGGGCAGTAGTGGGAGGGTGGCCGGGGACACACCTGAGCGCAAGGAAGCCGCTAATTGTGGCAAGAAGATGAAGGTGCGGCCCCCGCCCCTGAAGAAGACCTTTGACTCAGTGGACAAGTGAGCAGGGCGGGCCCGGCCGGAGCGCCCCGAGGCGGTGGGAGAGGGCGGCAGCAGGCAGGGCGGAGAGGTGACCCTGCTGGCCCCCCAGCAGGGTCCTGTCGGAAGTGGACTTTGAAGAGCGCTTTGCTGAGCTGCCCGAGTTTCGCCCAGAAGAGGTGCTGCCTTCCCCCACGCTGCAGTCCCTGGCCACCTCGCCCCGGGCCATCCTGGGCTCCTACCGCAAGAAGAGGAAGAACTCCACAGGTAGGCAGCGCTGGCCCCCAGTGGGCCGGGCCGGGCGGGGCGGGGCCGGGCCAGGGGCCGCGTGTGCCAGAGACCAAGTCTGCTTGTTTGGCTAGACCTGGACTCGGCGCCCGAGGACCCCACCTCACCCAAGCGCAAGATGAGGAGACGTTCGAGCTGCAGCTCGGAGCCCAACACCCCCAAGAGTGCCAAGTGCGAGGGGGACATCTTCACCTTTGACCGCACAGGTGCCGGCGTTCAGGAGACCGGGTTTCCACGAGTGCCGCTCGTGGGGGCAGCGGGGAGGCTGGGGCTGACCCCCTGGAGGGGGCTGGCGGGGCGGGGGCACCGAGGCCTCACTGAGCCACCTGTGCCGGGGCAGGTACCGACGCAGAGGACGTGCTGGGGGAGCTGGAGTACGACAAAGTGCCCTACTCGTCGCTGCGGCGCACGCTGGACCAGCGCCGGGCCCTGGTCATGCAGCTCTTCCAGGACCACGGCTTCTTCCCCTCAGGTGAGCGTGGCTCGCACTCAGGGAGCGCCCACGTGGGGACTGGGACCAGCCACACACCTCACCGCCCTTCTGTCCCCAGCCCAGGCCACAGCAGCCTTCCAGGCCCGCTACGCAGACATCTTCCCGTCCAAGGTGTGTCTGCAGCTGAAGATCCGGGAGGTCCGCCAGAAGATCATGCAGGCAGCCACTCCCGCCGAGCAGCCCCCTGGGGCTGAGGCCCCCCTCCCCGGACCGCCCCCGGCTGGCATGGCTGCTACTCCCGTCCCCACGCCCAGCCCCGCTGGGGGTCCCGACCCCACCTCTCCAGGCTCGGACTCTGGCACTGCCCAAGCTGCTCCGCCACTGCCTCCACCCCCAGAGCCCGGGCAGCCTGGCTGGGAGGGGCCCCCCCAGGCCTCACCTCCGCCCTCTGGCCCCTCCACAGCTGCCACGGGCAGGTGAGGGGCCCTGGAGAAGATCCACAGCACCCCCTCAGGATGTGGACAGTGACCTCCTCCCCAGGAAGCCACCTCTCCTTCCCAGCTGGGCACGGAAGGCGGCCTGTCCCCTTGTATATATTCCCGCCCTGTGGGGGGGCCGCGGGGGGCAGACACCCTCCACTGCGCTCCTGCACGTGACTGAGGCGTGAGGCCTTCAGAGCTTTTCACTTGTACTTTACACAGAGTGGCTCCTGTGAGGGCTGCAGGCTGGAGGGGAGTGTGAGCCTTGGCCACAGGGAGATGCCTGTGGAGCGGTGGGGAGTTGACACACCCCACTTTTTCCCCAGAGGGGCTGGACTCAGGTTAGTTTGGGGTGGGGCGCCCTCCCACCCTCTGCCCTCCCAACTTGGGTTGTACTTTCTAAGAAGGTGATTTCCCTATGTTGTCCCCATTCCCAGAACATGTTGATCATGTGCAATATTTCTTACTGTGCCGAGAAGCCGCAATGACCGAGATTAAAGCTGTTTAACACATCTGTGGGCTGACTCGCTCCCTCGCCCCCCCCCCATTACTGTCACGCCTCTCCCGGTGAGCATGGGGCGGCCCAGCGGTGCTCCGCCTCCCCCTTGGCAGGGCCACAGGGCTGCGGGCTGACCGCCCTGCCCTGTGAGTGAAGCAGCCTTGACGGTCTGGGAGCTGTGGTACCCATCTGTCCCTGCGACAGGCGGCAACTTCACCGCTATCGGTGGAGAGCGTTGCTCTCAAATGAGGCCAGTCCAAGGGCTACGGGCTGTCCACAATGACTGACCTCTGCTGACCTCCGCACGGTCGTCTAGGTGGCACCGCTGCCAAGGGAAAGCAGTTAACCTGTGCAAAGTCCAGGAAGGTGTAAGGTCTGAAGTAGCATCTAAGCTTGGGCCAGAGCCTCAGGGAGTCAGCTTGAATCAGCTGGGTCAACTCCCTGAGAGGACAGCTCGCTGGGGGATTTGGAGGTGTTCCAGCGATTGCTGACTGACTGACCTCGACCCTAACAGGATAATGATGGCAATTCTGGTTTCACCCAGAATTTGCCCAAACCACACACTACTGAAACACAGCCGGCCACGAGAACCGGAACGTCTGCCTCAGGTACGAACAGAGACTGCTGCACGGGGACAAGCCTAGCCATAAGCACGGAACAGGAGGCAGAAGAAGACTTTAATGTCGGGAGAACGAGGGTGCTCAGGGCGTGGTCTCCGGCAGAGGGGCGCCCTGGCCCTGAGCCAGGAGCCGCAGGAGCAGGGAGTGCAGGGCCCGGCAGACGGGGGTGTAGCCCAGCCGGCTCAGGTGGAGGTAGTCGTACATGTCGTGGTGGCTTATGGTGCCGTCAGAGTGCACAAAGCCAGGGTCTGCGTCTAAGAAGTGGGCTCGGGGGTGGCCAGACAAGGCCGCCCGGACCAGCTCGTTTACCTGTCGGTTTTTCTCCCGCAGCGGGTTGGGGTGCTGGCCCCTCGGAAGCAGGCCCTAAGGAGGCACACCAATAGTAAATTGTCAGATCGGCACCTGAGCCGATCTGCCCACCCCTAGCAGGAAAGCCGCAGCGCCGACAGTTGAGGGATGGGAAAACAGGGAGGGCAGAAGAGCTGCCACTGCCAAGAACCTTCCAGTCAGCAGCCTGTGCAAGATCACTCAGAAACACCATTTTGCCAGTGGGTCAGAGGTCTCTTTCAGGGATGGAAATGTCTTGGCTAGAAGCGATAAGGCCTAACTTACTCCAGGAATGCCTGGATACTCTGAGAGCTTCAACACTCAAAATACCCAGCACCAGGGTAACTGGTCCACAAGCACGTCTTCAAGCACAGCTGCTCTTTGTCTGGAGACAGGGTCTCTATGTAGCTCTGGCTGGCCTCTAACTCAGACGTGCCTGCTTCTGCCCCTGGAGTGCTGGGATTAAAGCCCTGTGCCACCACGGCCACTCATGTTCACTCTCAGAGTGTAGAAATCAGCTGGGCGGTGGTGGTGCACAGGACTGTAGCCCCAGCTGCCAGGGAGGCAGACCTCTGCTGATTCCTAGGCCAGCCTGGTCTACAGAGTTCCAGGACAGACAGGGCCACACAGAGACACTGACTGGGGAAACAGACAAACAAACAAACAAACAAAAAGTGTGGAAACCATCTACCAGATGCTTTCTGGAAAGCCACTGTGCCACGCTGTCCAGAACTGTGCCAATGCTAGCTACTTCTTGAGGGTCCTACACTCTAACCACACTTCCGTTTGTTTTGTTTCTGGAGAGTGCCAGGATCAGAGGTGTCGGCCACCACTGCTTGGCTCTTTCAAAGTGCCTTGCTCTGTGGCCCAGAACAACCTCAGTACTGATGATCCTCCTGCCTCAGCTCGGGAAGCGGGAAGTGCCGGGATTACAGGCGTCTGCCACTATGACTGGCTGCCACGTTTCCTTTCCCGCCCTTCCAGGCTCTCACCAGCACAACCACCCGTGCCTGGGGCTGCAGCTTGTTCACCAGCTGCACGATGGCTTGGATGCCTCCCGTCACCTGCTCCGCTGTGTGGCTGTGGTTGTTGGTGCCCACCCAGACCACCACAATCTGCGGAAAGAGGGACACCGAGCACGGGTGAGCACGCCGGCGAGGAGCGCCGGCCCACCCCCCGCGCCTGCTCACCTTGGGCCGGATGTGCTCCAGCTCCCCGTTCTCAAGCCGCCAGAGCACGTGCTGGGTGCTGTCTCCACCGATGCCGAAGTTAAGTGCGTGCAGAGGAGAGAAGAGCTCCCGCCAGATCTGTGGGCAAGGAACGATGCAGGCCCCGGCCACCCTCCGTCCACCGTGGACGAGCCTTACTTTATGGGTGGAGTCTGGTCAACTCTCCCCGAGAACAAAGCCTAGCAGGGAGTCACTTCAGGAAACCCATTACTGTCTCACTCTAACCAAAATCCCACGGAAGTCAGAGTCGGCCTGTGAAAACCCTGTCCTGTGAGAACAGCCACTGTGGCTAACCCTCTCTCGGGAGAGTTTCATGACCGACAGTCTTTGGGCCACACCATTACCATCGACCTTCACTTCCCATAAAGCTTTTATTACCACTCTGCGTAAACCCAACAGGGCTGTGCTCTATTTGAACACAGTAAAAGCCTCACCTTAGGCAATCTAGAAGGAAAGCCTCAGAGACAGACAAACCCAACGGGGCAGAGTCGGGGCACACAGACCTTCCACCACGGGCATTTCTGTACCCCCTTATCTCGCCTGGCTTGGGTTCTGGGCCCAGAGTGGCAGTGAGGTTACGTGCCCGGATGAGGAGGGATGACAGGGCGGCTCCTCACCTCACACTGGTGCATTAGCTGGACCAAGGAGTCCCCGATGAAGACGACCTCGGGTTCCTTGTCCTTGCTGTCTGCCACGAACCGGTGGTGCTGCAGGGAAAGCAAGACCGGGCCAATGGCGGGCACGCCCCAGGCCCCGCGCCGCCCTGCTTCCTCAGGCTGGACACCCCCAACCTGCCTGCCCACCTGGGTGAGGGCGATGCCACGAAGCAGGGCTCTCCGGGAGCACCCCCCCCTCCACGTCCCTGCCCCGAGGACCGCCCGGGGCCACTCACCAGGGACATCCAGCGCCCGTCGCCCTGCACGTCCTGCACAGGCGTGGGCCTGCTGGCCGGGTTCTGCTCCGCGCTCATGCTCGGCGGCGCGGGCCCGGCGAAGAGCGGAGCCCGGGAGCGCTGGCGGCG